TATTATGGAACTCCTTTCCTCCTTTTTTCAATTCAATCCATGTCAAAACCTCATAAACAAAGAAGTCTTCAAGGATCTGCTCTACCAGGTTTGTCTGCTTTGTAAATTTCTGCCAGAAAAACTACACCAGCTGGAAATGGCAGCCGGGAACCACACACCATACAGTCAATTCAGCTGTGCTAGAAACAAAATTTTGATGTAGACAAGTTATGCCAACAGGAAAAGCATTTGTGTTGGCTTTACTTGCACCACAGACCCAAACGATGAATTTTTGCTGGCAGAAAGATTACTTCTGCTTTTCCAAGAAGGGGCTTTATTGGCCAAGCTGCAGTGACTTTTAGGTCAAAGCGGTTTGAAGAGCTCCAATATCCATATTTTTCAAATTGTCTTGAAAGGCGGTTACAACAAAAAATAAGTTAACTATCCATATTCTGATATGTCTCAAAGATTTCTGAAATAAGATCTCCAACGAACAACATTTTTTTCAAATCTGTCAACCAAAAAATGCCCCAAAGCTCTCTTTCTTTGTGTGCATGCATATACAAAGTAAATAATCCATCTATCTCACAACCTCTATTTCAGTTAGTGCAGTTCACTTTGGAGAAGCAATATTGAAGAGCCTGTTCTTAACAATTACACTCTAAACACAGTCACCAAAAAAATCTCAAGAAGTTAGAGCTTCTTGCCCCTGAAAGCTCTCCTTCTAATTCTCCCATGCAAAAAGAAATCCAGAAGTGGTCTGTTCCTCTATAGAATCACAGCATTTCATTCTCCTCCCATATGAAATGGCAGAATTTTTCTGTCTATCAACAGAGGGTGGATGGATGCAGGGAAACTGACAACAACTCACATGTGGACTTTTAGGAAAGAAACAATCTCTGATTGGGCTGGGACAGTCAGAGTTAAGCAACTGACCTCGTCGGCCAGGCACCAGAGGAAGGAAAATAAAACAGTAACTACTCTGAACTGTAAAACAGTAGCATGGGGTTTTATTTATTAGTATGAGCTGTAAACTGAACCAATGGACTATGGGCCAGTAAGTTACTGCCTGAGACAAACACATGAGGAATACATTTTTTTAAAACACATACAAGTGCCTTCTTGACAGGACATGTAAAGAGGGCTGGAGGAATGTGGCAGTCCTAAGGGAAACAATAGTACAGCAGGTGGAAAGGGGGAAAGAAAAGAATGTAAAAGGAGTCTGTTCCTTTAATTACCGTAACCATCAACAAATAAAACTTTTTAAAAAGAAAAGAGTATTGCCTGATCTCAAATATCCATATTTTGACACATGGATGGCGGGGGGGAAAGGGGAGGAGGAGGAAAGGAGAAGACTTGGAATCACGCAGCACACTTTGGCTTGCCGAAACAACGTTTCCAAGTGCAAAATTCTATAACTAAAAGTTCTATAAATATTATTTTACCTTTTATTCAAAGCCTCAGGAAACTGTACAACAAAAGCTTTAAGGTGCACTATTAGGTTGTTCGACTCTTTGCACCACAAACATTACCAAACACTATCTGAAGACCAAAAAAATAGCTCTTAGGGAATGGATTTTATTTTAACTTCTTTCAGATCTCATGTAGTTAAGATCAGAAGAAGCTGTAAGATTGTCTCCCAGAATACACTGCCACTCCAAAATAAGGTTTTGCTACAACTTGCCAACAGTCCTTCCTCACAGTACCGTATCTCCCAACAGTACTATGCACACACTTATATTTCCAGAAATTTTTTGAAGATTAAAAAACCCTGAAAATCTGCTCACAAAACTACCTGAGCAATATCACTAATATACATGTTCAAATTACATTAATAATGAAAAATGAAGCTATTCAAACTGCCTATGTAAATGTAATTCGGCCTCTTGTGTGAACACAATATAGCTCTTAATTACTTGATCACAGACTTTTTACCCATGGGACACTTATCCGATGCACAGACTGTGCCTTCCTCGAGAACGGAACACTGCCAGGAAATAAAAAGATTCCTGCAGAGACTCACCTGCCTTGGCTGCAGAACTGGGCAGGCATACAGGGTAGCTTACATAGGCCAGGACTGGTCATACATGTTCACTCCAGAAAGGCCAACACTTTATTGATTTGCTTTTAGACAGAGAAAGAAAGGGGCCAAGAAGTGACTCAGCCAGAGCACTTCTGAGGGAAGCACAAGGAGGCCTCACAGACAGCCAAGCTCTTCATTGACTTCTAGGTGTCCCTTTTGATCAGCACTAGAGCATTATTGAGGAACTTTCTGTGCCCATGGATGTATAGAGCACAAGAAGGAAGATACAAAGAAAACATCAGTAGAAGATTGAAAGCGAATCTCTATGCAGAAATGAAAGGATATGATTGCTGGCACATCTCTACATTCGTTTATACAATTCCTTTCTTTTTTTTTTTCCCTCCCATTTCACCATGCAAAAATTCCATAATTTGGAATCATACTCAAATCCACATCAGTCATCAACAGAGTTTAAATCTTTCAATCACCCACACTGTCATTTTGTGAAAAACAGTTGGATGTCATGTTTTGCGGACTAGCCCTTAGAAGGAAACAAGACACTTGGCTTGTGGCTTTCACAGATTTTTGTTGATAGCTGAGGAATGGCAAGATTTAAGGATCTTGGATTTCATTCCACACATAAAAGGGAATTACATTCTAGGACAAGTTTCTCAATCTGTGGTCTGTAAAACATCAGATGGTGGTCCAAAAAATCATCATAGAAAATGAATTTTTAAAAACATACATTCCCACACATGCAAGCAAGAAAACATAATTGAGGAAATACAAAAAATAAAACAAACATTCAAAGTTTAGCCTAATTGAATTGCACTATAATGCATAAGAAAATGTGACAACATTTCACAAGATGATCCTTGCATTTTTTTAAGGAAATTAAGTCTTCTTGAAACAACACATTGTCCTTTAACATTTAAGTTTGAAAACCCTTTCTTCTGTTCTACTGAACTTCCTGAGTAAGTCCTCTCCAGAAAATGCCTTGTTACATCCAATATGTTCCTCCCTTCATCCTACTTCCCTAAGCCATTACCTGTTTTCTCCATGTCCCGCTATGCTTTCTCTAGTTTCATTCTCTTCACAGACACCCCTTAAAGTCATCTATAGAAGCAACCCATTCAGCAACTGAGCTCTTTCTGCCTGTTTTCATTGACAAACTCTGCCTCAAGTCTCCTGGTTCATCCTGAATTTCAGTTACCATTGTTGGAACATCCTTTATTTCACTGGTTCAGCTGCAGGAGTTTCCTTTCTCAGGACCCCCCTTTGGCCTGTCACTTTTTTAAAAAATTACAGACACCTGGTCCACACCTTATCCCTACTCCCTGGTTTAAGATCTGGACATAGCTATCCAGCCCTAGTCTTTCACACTGCTCTTTTCAGGGCTAATTTCCCTTCCTAGTGTCCACACGCAAATATCCTTGCATCCAGCTGTGTATACATACTCTAAGTTGCTTTTTTTTACCCAGACAAACAGGCAACAATGCCTACTTTAAATCTTAATTCCAAAAGAGGTCTGCAAAGTCAGCCAACAAAGAATATTGGAGAAGTACCTGGAGCTCCTAAATACAATATTAATAGCATATCTGAGATCCTCTCCCTCAAAATCATTTTCCGCTCTCATATTTCCTATATAACATTACCATAAAATTCATGAATGTTAAATGAAAAACTAGTAAAAAAAGAAAAAAAAAAGGGCAGTTGATAACAAATCTCAACTAATGGCCACTTTTTTATATGAAGTACATAACATCTAACTTGAAACTCCATTTGCATGAGTTGCTCTGACGCTCATTCTTCATCAGTTTAAAAAGCACAGCTTTTAAACTTTTCTTCCTGAAGATTATTATTAGCTACTGATCTTTAAAACTTGTTGTTTTAAAACAAGATACAACCTTTAAATTAAATATGCTGATTAATACACGCGTATTTAACCTATTGGTATGTATTAGTAAATGCTGAATTGATTACTCCCTTTTTTCAAGACAATTCTTTTCACAAGTCTTGTAAGTGATAAACTGTATCTGGATGAAAACAGACTGATTAAAAACAACAAAAAAGAATTTTAAACTCAACTAAAAGTACTTAGTAACACATATGTAAAAATACATATGTAAATTTTACATATGTAAAAACAGGAAAAACTACTTTGCATTTAAAACTGAATTAATTATGTTTTGTGTGGCTAGCAAGCTTAATGACTGCATAAATGATCCGAAAATAAAGATTTTAGAACTGATCTCCTCCTCTTTCCTGACAGCTCTATTCATCTATTAGGAAGTAGAAACTGACTTACTCCTGTTTTCAGTTTCAAACAGATTTAAATTAAATTTGAACAAAGTAAGAACTGGATGTGACATCTGAAAATAAGGAGACTATTCACTTGATATCACAAGAGACACAGTTGCTTCAATTGATTTTGACATGTTGACAAATTCTGTTTCCCAGTGTTTAGTAGCTGAGAGCTTTTGTTTTCCTGAGCACTTTGGCAGGACACATGTACTGCTTGATATGTGGGTTGGGGTGTGTCCTTTTTATTTTGGTTTGGGTTTTTTTAATTTGAGAATACATTCAGTCTGCAGTAACAGTCACGTTCATAATGAATTTTAATTTTAAGTATGTTTCTTTAATTAAAAGTTAATTTTAATGTGTTTAAAATATGGTTTTGATACCGCTTTCTACACAGCCTCCTTATATGGCCTCTAGAATTATTTGCTCCTCACTCTGAAGTACATGCAAAATTTCTGGGAGCTCAATTAAATAATTTTCCGCCACCATGGATAATCTACTACATATTTTGAAATACTTTATGATAGATAAAACCAATAATTTGCTTCTTGTTAGCAATTGAGGAAAATAATACAAAAATATTTTGTTTGCTACTGAGATTAATATATACAAAAGGCACATTTCCTTGGAATCAGGGTTTTTTTGTGGAATATTAGATATAGATTTCCAGCCTCTCAGGAAAATTAAGTTTGCATACCAGCACAGAATATCCCTGGGACTTCACTCCGGAGTATAACAGTTCGTACTTTCTTATCAGATTTCAAAGCATCCACAGCTTTTGACATCTACAGAAAAAAGGAAGAAGGGGAATAACCAACCACTTTTTAAAGTACTTAATTCCAATACTTCACCTTTATTCACTAGAAACTATTCTTTTCACTTACCATTTTTAAAACATTTTTGTTAAGTGCATTCTTGGCATGAGATCTGTTTAATCCAAGCACCACAATTCCTGGAGGGGAAGAAAAATTGTATTGTTGTTACAATGTAGTAAAATATATATTATCTATGTAAATTATTATTTTGAAATTATAGAAAAAGCATCACTAAAGACTGCAAAAAAAATGCTAGTGTAATCACTTAACTACTGAGTTTTTGAAAGAAAATAAATTGACTTACATTTTCCAATGTTAAACACTTCAACGTTCAACAGAAATTACATTTATTTGAAGAACGAAAATATGTCCCTAACACCTTCACATGGAAATAGTACTTACAAGGCTGAATGTATAATTACACAATTGCATGCACAAATTTCATGTTTGTGTGAAGTGCTGACATGCAATCAGGAAAGATACTTAATTGTAAAGCATATGTTTCCATATTTAGACAGCCTGCCTTCAGAGACTTGTTAAAGCAAAAAGTGCTACCACAGCTAAGACTGGCAACTCTGATACAGGTAAAAGGAAGTCACAAACGCGGAAAGAATGCTATCACAGGAAACAAATAAATCATACAAAAATTAAGCCCCAAGATATAAAAACCGCGCTCAGTGCTTGGTACACAGCTCCAATCGCAAATTCACATCTCCCTTAGTCCAGTTAGAGATCAGTCGTCTCACTGACTGATTACATGTGCATTGGTTTGAATGTTGCAGCAGAAACACCGATTGTCCTTATTTCAGCCCCCCCAGCTTAACAAGCACGATTATCAAACAGAAAAACTCTGAAAAGTTTATCTTGCTAATGTCTAAGTTTACCAAGCCTATAGCAATCTTTTAGACAATTACTTCCCGAACAACTAGAATTCCCTGAATTCTAAATGCCAGCACACAGTCCTATTATATTATCCAGTCCTGGTAAGGTCTTATCAATAAGGACTTCTTTTTTTACTTAGAGAATGCAGGGGTAAGGGGAGAAAGACAAAGGACTAGGACAGGGACCAGAAATGAAAGACAAAAAGGGAGCCCTCTATCTCAAACAAAAATGCCCACAGTATTGCCATCAGTCTACAAAATGAAAAAAGAAATTCCAGAAACTCAGTATTTGCCTGGGTATTTACTACTTCCCCACTCAGATTTGCACATGTAATCTATATGTAATCTGGCTCTTGCAGACTCCACAGGGTACCTGTCTTGTCATCTCAGCGCATACTACTTCTTTTATTTCAAAGAAACCTGTCCTCCCAAAGGACTGACCTCTCAGTGCTTGAGCCCACTCCCCTTCCTCTTCTTCCTCCTGCATGTATGTGCACATGCACGCACACAAAATGAGATTAAAGACAGCTCCTGCTCCTTCTGCACCTACCAATTTGAAACCAAAGTCCTCCATTCGCCAGCTACCACTCTCAAGATTCAAATAAAAATGGTTAAACCCAAGTACCAGAGCACAGATGCCTCTTACTTGCTCCCAAGGTACAATCCATTGCTCTGTATAGATACCTCCTAAAAGGGGAGAGGAGCCTGGCTAACCCAAATGACCTTCACTCCCTTGCTCTGTAAACCTAAATTCCTACCTGTTCCTCCCCATAGTTGGAAGTATTCATCTAGGACCTCCTCCAAGGGTCCTTATTCAGCACTTACACAGGAATCTGTTTATGTTCTTTCAAGCAAAAGGGACAACATTCAAGTAGTGCTTCTGACTCTAGCACTTTTATTCTACTGTCACAACTTATTCTTCAGGAGAATTACTCCAAATTCAAATACTCCACATGTTCAATTAGGCAAAAGCAGCACCACCACACGTTAAAGCAACAAAAAGGCACTTGATCTGGCTTTGATTTTAAACTCTAAGGCACACTGCAAATCTGATGTTTGAATAAACTTGAGATGCTATCATCCCAAATTGTTGTTCAGTTAGGAAATAAAGTTCTTTCCACAAGCATGTTTTTTTCAACAGCAACGACGCTTTTTATTCCACTTGTAGTTTTCTTCTTCCCATCAGAGCTCAAACACTGCTGCTCCACCACCAATATTAGTGCATTCAGAAGGAAGTTCCATTTAACATTAGGGCACATTTAATATTTTTACCTACAAAGGGATGATGTTTGAAGACAAACCATACAAGTTGATTCTTCTTAGCAGTGTCGTACCAAGTCATAAATCTACCACTTCTGCCTCCCTCTCCAGAAAAATAAGAGGTTAATACAGATGACACCCACACAGCTGTTCTATTTCTTAAATAGGAAAAAACAGATGAAGCAAGAACAACAGGAAAAGCATAAAGCGTTTACAAGAGAAAACTACATATTGCAGTGATGTATACAAAAAGACATTCCTTGAATTCTCATTTGAGTCAGTTTTGTTCTAATATGCCATTACTACGGTACCTGGGCATCCTTAAAACAAATTCTTAGGTTTTTTTAACACTGCAGTTAAGATTTGCGAAGTTTTCCCAATGTATCAATCAGTGACCAAACTACACATAGATTAAGTACCTGCTCAAAGTCACAAAACAGAAATTGAAAAACAGGCTTTCTGATCTCCAGCTGAGATTTTAATCCTTCTCCCTTCCCCAGCCCACCCCAAGAATCTCCTGGCGAAAACTGTTTAAGGTAAATCTTCCCTGTTTTGTGCATTCAACAAGATTTAAACCCCTGGTCACATGGGTATATCAATTTTAGATGGGATAAATTTCTCTAATGAGGGCAAAAAGCAATAAGCTGGCTCCACATAACACTGCAGAGCCCCACCAACCCAATTATAAAGAAAAGAAAAACAAAAAAAAAGAGCAAAATGTTCAGACAATACTACCATACAGGTAACGATTCTGACAAATATTGTTAGTCACAGAGAAAACCTGATTATTTTTATGTATTTTAAAATACCTGTTACATTGTCAACTGAAGCATTTAACCATGGTTCCTTCTTCCTGAAGCACCCACATATAGGTGTGCTTTCCAAAATCTTTTAAAAAAAAAAAAATTGTTTGAAAAATCTATTTGTAAGAGAAAAAAAAAAAATTAAAGTCATCATCACATTCATCAACAAATATCAGGAGAAATAATAATAATAAAATTCCAGTATCTGTATGGTGTCAAAGAAGTAGCAGATATACTAAGAAGGAATAAGCATTTACATAATGCTAAACTCAGTATTAATTTCATAGTTGTTCCTGGGAGTCATCTCCACATTATTTCAGAACATTCTTCAGCAAATAACGTGCATCTACTAAAAATTACATCCACATATTAAAAAATAATTTAGCTAGGCTCTCCAAGAGACTAGGATGAATCCAATGCTGTCTAATATAAGTAGTCATATCCCTGGGGTACTACAAGCCTAACCAACCATCAGAGGAAAAGCATATGCAAACGTACAATATGTTCTCTGGTTATAAGCTACTTTTGTCAAAAAAGAAAGCTGTCTGTGATTAATTCTTAATGTTTAAGAGAAAACTGGATGAAAGTAATATATAATAAAAACAAGAAATATCTTTTAGTGAGATAAAGATACATACATATATGAAAGATAGCTTCAAAATACCTGTAAATTTCCAGAAACATCCTCATTTTGTAGTGTACACTAAATTTGGGATTTGCATGTAAATATTTCATATTGAAAGGTTCTTGTATTTTAAGAGTGATAGCAAAAATAGATGATGCTATCATTGTTTAAAACTGCTGAGAGAGAAGATCATACTTCTTTCTATGCTGTACAAAACAGGGTGGACCAATTTAAGTGAAGTGATTAGATCATGGTTTAACTATAGTTTATATCAGCACACAGGAAATCTTAACTTTACATAATGATTTTTATCTGTTTTATCTTGTACTTTCTAGTTTTCAAAAAAATATTCATCCTCAATGTTTGGTAGAAACACATTTAAACAGTTACTTACAAATAAATCCGGTCTTTACAGTCATATTAGTAATTTTGTCTGAGTTATAAAGAAAGATTAACTACATCTGTATAAAAAGTACTTATGGAAATACGTCTATTTGTATTAAGTATACACACTCACACAAACGATCTATCCAAATGTACTTTTTCATAACTAAAAAAAAAAAAAAAAAATTATGCACAGAAAAATGGAGGGAGACTCAAAGACAGCTAAGTTATTTTTAAGCTTGTCTCACGTAACTACTCAGATAAACCAAGGTAGACAAGTTGACTTAGATGTTTATTACTCTAGAATAGTTTCTTAAGCAAAACAAGAATCTATGGTGAGTGTATCATGCACAATTCTGGTGGTTTCCATTGATCACCTTATCAAGAAGTATTTAAGTGCAAAATCATACAGATGTGTACTAGGCAGTACTTTTAAAAAACACCAAAACACTTTTCAAAATCCCATATCTGCACCTTTTTTTCTCTACACACCACTTAAAAATCTTTTCTGCACTTCTTAAATTAGTAGATCTCATCTACTCAGTCCTGCTTTATTTAAAGAGAGCAAAAGAAGGGAAAGATTTTCCAATTTATCAGCTAGTTATCAGTTTCCAACCTCTGAAAAACAACTTCAACCGAGACCGTATTTGTTCTGCCCATTCTATGCATGTTAAAATTCTAACTGATGAGGACAAAAAGCTGTCTTACACACTCTAACTGAACTAAAAATAGCTGGAAAATATAAGCACAAAGAGTCGTTCTAGTGTAAAGCCTAAATTTTACAAATATTTATCTCACATTGCAGAAAGTGACACTGCAACACTTGAGTCAAGAGATACTTCTCCTAACTCCATCTATAATTTAAAGAACAAAAGCTCTAAGTCCATTAAAATTCGCAATGGGATCACTAATGCAACTTGGCTAAAAGTTCTGAAATGTCAATAGTTGTAATACATTTCAGCCCTAGAGATAACTAAATAGAAGCTCAAATAAAGTAAAAAATATGTATTTAATTAAAAAATACTAATGCACTGACATTCACCTACACTGCTAGAAAACTGATACTAAAAGCTTCACAAGTTGCAACTTGCTGTTCAGAATACACAGGCATTTTACAATCACATTCTTCAAAAATCTCACATTGTGTGTGTTCCAGTTCAGTTCAAATTTGGAAGCTGGGAAGT